AGAGATTGATCGAAATCGAACGTCACACGACAAATACCTTAAACATCTAAGATTTTAAAGTTAAGTTTAGTTTTGCACCTTTCCAGCTCTTTTTTCGGTTTTGTATGACCATCATAATAGTATGCTCATTTCATTGAACCTTAACAATTTACAATTTACAAATTGATTACAATTTTGCAATATCATAATAATAAGATTAACAATACAAATCAAAGTCAGATCATTCATATACGAGTAAACGCGTTAAAATAATACTTAAGAAATCATAATATTATCATTATTAACTATTATAATTATATGTATTAATTAATAACTATTTTCCTACGTTGCTTGTTCTTGATTTATTTTTGTTGTTGTTGGTGTTTTCTTGTTTAGTTTAGTGAAACTGGGTGGGATAATTTAAAAATGTTTTTTTTTTGTAAGTAGTTTGGATAGATTGTCGCGGTTATTTTGTTTTTGGTTATATGTAGGGTTGTTTTTTGTTTGGGGGTTGGATAATTTTTTAGTGTCTGTACAAAGCACTGGGTGCGCTGCGGTACTGCGCCGTCCGAATCCTGCGGCTGACGCACTCGTAGCAGCACACGTAGGCTAAACATCACTTGAACAGAATCCTTCGGAACGCACGTCGGAAGTCCTTGTTGAAGATGGTGTAGATGACGGGATTCAGAGCGCTGTTCATGTATCCCAACCAGAAGGCGGTGGAGAAGGCTATTCCAGGGATATCGTAGACCAGTCGCAGGATGTACATGAAGAAGAAGGGCAGCCAGCAGGCGATGAAGCTACCCATGATCAACCCTAAGATGAGTGTAGCTCGTTTCTCCTTCTTCCTCGCGATGCGTCTCTTCTCGCGCTCCGGATCCCTCGGCTTCTGCACTCGCGGCACGACTTGCTCGACCATAGGTTCACCACCGCCGCCTCCTCCCGCACCATCTTTACCCTTCCTATCATCTGATCTTCTACCCTTGTTTGCAGTTCGCTTCCCGAAGATCGGTTTGCACAGACGCAACTTCAGAGGCTTCACCACGGTGCACCGAGACACGACGCCGGAATCCGAGCTGCTCGGATCGAACTCGCTCACCATGTCCGTATCGATGGTTGACGGTTGTCTGGCTCTCGCGAGTGCTGCTGCTTGCTGCTGAAGTTCCCCGTTCACGGACAGTGTTGACCCTCGGAAAGGGCACTGGGCCAGAGGGTTTCGACCCACCTGAGCCGTAACTCCGACACCCCCGAACACCTGACAACAGATTAAACAAAATTGAATTATCGCTCAAACACACAACACACGGATTTGCTGCGATTAATCCGTCCCCCATCGGACGATACATTTACAAAATACACATCGATTCGCACAACCGGAAACGTCCAAAACGCAAACCGGAATTTTGTCATTCTTCCTGCATGCAAACACATAAATTCAACAAATCATCCCATAATCCTCCTAATCTCATATCGCAGTTAAAAAGTTAATTTATCAATATTTCAATATTTCTTGCGGTCATTTCAACTAGAGTTGAGTATTTTTTATTGGTGCAAAACTAGTGCCGATATGTTATATTCTTTTAGTGTAAATATCATTAGAAGATTTAGATTCGATCATAACAAGTTGAGATAATTTATGAAAAGTTAGCGTAAGAAAACTTTTGAAAATTTAATAAAAGTAGTAGGAAAAGGACAGTTACGAAATGATAAGTATGGAAAAATTAATATAGTTTAAGAAAAAGTTTGGATAACTACTAAATATTGTTAAATAATGAAAATTGAAGAAAATATGGTAAAAGTTAGATAAATTTAATGAAAATCGGAATAAAATAGTGAATTTTAAGAAAATGTAATAAAATTGAATTGAATTATGAAATAGTATTGAAACACTGTAGAAAGTTAAAATAATAGAAAAAAATTAGACGAGAGAAAATTAGCATTAAATCATAATAAGTTGAGATAAGTTATGAAAAGTTAGCGTAAGAAAAAGTTTTACAAATTAATAAAAGTAGTAGGAAAGGGAAAGTTTGGAAAAATTAGTATAGTTTAAGAAAGTTTGGATAAATAATAAATATGGTTAAATAATGAAAATTGAAGAAAATATGGTAAAAGTTAGATAAATTTAATGAAAATCGGAATAAAATAGTGAATTTTAAGAAAAGGTAATCAAATTGAATTGATTTATGAAAAAGTATTGAAAAACTGTAGAAAGTTAAAATAATAGAGAAAAATTAGAATAAGAGAAAATTAGCATCAGTTAATAAATTATAAGAAAATTTAAGAAAACTTATTGAATTTTAAGATAAAAAGTAATAAAATTGAAAAAAAAGAAAAAGTATGAAAAAACTTGAAATAATAGAGAAAAATTAGAATAAATAAGAAAATGTTTACGTTAATTATTAAATGATAGGAAACTTTATGAAAACTTAGAGAAAGTTATGTACAACTAGAAAAAGTTGGTAAAATTATGAAAAGTCAATAATTAAAGATTAGGATAAGTTATGAAAAATTAATAAAAGTTAGGAAAAAGTAAAAATAGTTTTGATAACTAATGAAAACTTAGAATAAATAAGGAAAAGTTAGCATATTTAATTAAAATTGAGGAAAAATTTCAATAAATTAGAGAAAAAATTTAATGAAAATCGGAAAACAATAGTGAATTTTAAGAAAAGGTAATAAAATTGAAAAAATTATGAAAAAGTATTGATAAACTGTAGAAAGTTAAGATAATAGAGAAAAATTAGAACAAGAGAAAATTAGAATAAATAAGAAAATGTTTGCGTTAGTTAGTAAATGATAGGAAACGTTATGAAAACTTAGTGAAAGTTATGTAATACTAGAAAAAGTTGGTAAAATTATTAAAAGTCAATAATTAAAGATTAGGATAAGTTATGAAAAAAATAATAAAAGTTAGGAAAAAGTAGAAATAGTTTGGATACCTAATGAAAACTTAGAATAAACAATGAAAAGTTAGCATATTTAATGAAAATTGAAGAAAAATTTGAATAAATTTGAGAAAGTTAGCATTAGTAACGATATAATAGGAAAAGTTATGAAAAATTAGCAAAAACAGGAGAAATTGTTAAAAGTAGTATTTAAAGAAAATTTAAGTTAAGATAGAAAAAAATGTAAAAAAAATAAATAGGATAAGATAAATAAAGAAAATTTAGAAATAAACAGAGAATGTTAATATTAGTTACTAGTTATGAAAAGAAAAAAATTGAAAATTAGTATTAAATGTGACATGTGAGAAAAATATAGTAAAAAAGTTAGGAAAATGTAGAAATAAAGTTAATAAAAACTAATGAAAAAAATGAGAAATGTTAGGAAAATATAGAAATAGTTAGGAAAACTTAATACAAATTTAAATCATTTTATATTCAATGAATTTATTAAATCTATTTGCAAATGTTTGATGAAAACTGTAATAAATGTGTATAAACTAAACATGATAAATTTTATAGAACAGTTTATATCTTCCGAATATTAAATTTTGGGCACGTAGTTAAAGAGTTTATCCATAGATCGAGAAATACGAAATGTAAATCACAACCGGAAATGCACCATTGCAGCGGCCATCATAAATATTCCCTTGCTACTGCGATCTGTTTATTCGAAAACAAATCGTAAATAATACATGTAAACTCAACCCTCCCCCCCAATTCCAAACCTCCCAACCCTCGCCCATCCACAAACATTGCGATACTCGAATTAAACCCACTATTAATATCTATATCGTGATGTGATTTACTACTGCATCTTCAATAACTTGATTTATTTATAATAAAAAGTTTAGTTTCAGCAAAATCCAAACAATTTTTAATTATATTTTTTTGTATACAAAAAAAAACAATTTTATTTTATCTATAATTAAAACATAAAATAATATAGTTTTTCATATATTTGAAATGTATCTATAAATTAATCTATTTTTTTAATGTTTACAAAAGAAAACGTTACATCATGCTTAGAAATTTAGTTTATACAGTGAAAAAGATGATCAAAAGGACTAAAATCAAAGGTGCAAAAAATTTGCATAATTCGATCATTCCAAGGGGTGTTCATTTCTTTTATTTTTTTTTGGGTTGGTAATTCAATTGCTTGGGCAGTTGGCAATGGTGGATTTCGGAACAATTCCGGTCGCGTTTCGCAACGGCGGCGAGATTAAATTACGCGGAATGCGCGAACACCGCGCGTCCCAATCCCGTCCCATTCTTGTCCCGTTTTCGAACCGATCCGTACGCGGTGTGTGTTTACTCGCTGCAAAAGTCCTTTGTGGTTTCCTGCGCGGGGGGCGAGCCGCAAATACACACAGCCATAGCGCCCCGGGTTTCATTAGAACGAGATAGAGAGAGGAATACAGACAGAGGAAGGGAGAGAGAGAGAATCGAAATTCCAATACACACGGACAATATAATCCCAGAATGTTGGCTTTGCATATTGGGGTTTGCGAATTGTTCGCGTATCTCCCGATGTGCACAGTCCATTCACATGCGAAAACCAAAAAACCGCCCTCAATTCAAACTCACCCCCCCACAGCAAAACAATCTCATTCCATCCGCGCACATGTATCCAGCAACAAACACCCTCATTCCTTCAACGTTTTTTTTTTTGTTTATTTCAATTTCAATCCACATTCAGACACTTCCCTTTCCTTTCTATCAAAGCGAAACCAAAAGAATATTAGGAAAATTAAAATGAAACACTTCAATTGAAAAAGTTAGGAAAGATAGTAAAAGTTAGAAAAGAAAAAAGGTAGGAAATGATTGAAAATATGGGACAAGGATGGGAAAATTAAAGTTAGTAAATGTTGTTGTAACTAATTAGTGAAAGTTATGAAATGGTAGAAAAAGTTGAAAAAATATTAAAAGTAGTAATTTAAGAAGAATAAGTAAGGAAAAGTTAGAAAAATAGTGTAAAAGTAATGCAAAGGTAAGAAACAAAGAAAATTTAGAATAAATAATTAATGAAAATTTAGGAAAATATGGTAAAAGCAAGGAAAAATTGAATAAAGTTTGGAAAAATTAGAATATGTAAGAGAAAATTAGCATTAGTTAAGAAATGATAAGAAACGTTATAAATAATTAGTGAAAGTAATGACAAAGTAGAAAAAGTTGTTAAAATTAGTTAGTTTATTATTACAAGAAAAGTTAACACAAAGGAAAGCTAGAAAAAAATGGAAAGGTAGGAAATAAGTATATATGCAACAAAAATTTAGGAAAAATGTTAGAAAAAATTAGAGTAAATAAGAGAAAGTTATTTCGATTCCATTCTACATTCACCATTTTCTTTTCTTTCAAATAGAAAGCAATAAAAAAAGAAGGAAAATTAAAATGAAACACGATAATTGAAAAAGTTAGAAAATATGGTAATATATAGAAAAAAATATGTAAAAGTAAAGAAAAGATAGGAAATGATATAAAACATTGGATATCAGGACAAATAAAGAAAATTTAGAACAAATTAGGATAAGTATTGAAAACTTAGGAAAATATGGTGAAAGGGAATGTTATAAATAAAGTTGGAAAAGTAGGAAACAAAGAAAATTTAGAATAAATAAGAACAACTTAGGATAAGTAATGAAATTTTATGGAAATATAGTATAAGGAAGGAAAAATTGAAGAAAGTTTGAAAAAGAATTAATAAGAGAAACTTAGCAATTGTTAAGAAGTGATAGAAAGGGAATGAAAAAGTAGAAAAAGTTGGTAAAATTAGTTAGTTTATTATTACAAAAAAAGTAAATAAAAAGTTGAAAATGATAGACAAACATAGGATAATAAGATAAATAAAGAAATTTTATACTAGAGAAAAATTAGCTAAATAATGAAAATTTAGGGAAATATGGTAAAAGGAAAGAAAATTTCAAGAAAGTTAGCAATAGTTAAGAAATGATAGAAAAGATTGTAAATAATTAGTGAAAGTTATGAAAAGATTGAGAAAGTTAGAAAAATGATTAAAAGTAGTAATAAAAGAAAATTTAATATACATAAGGAAATGTTAGAAAAAAGTTGGAAATGTAATGGAATGGTAGGAAACAAAGAAAATTTAGAATAAATAAGAAAAACTTAGGATAAGTAATGAAAATTTAGTAAAATATGATAAAAGGAATAAAAAAATTGAAGAATCTTTGGAAACATTAGAATTAATAAGAGAAAATTAGCAATAATCAAGAAATAATAGAAAAGGTTATGATAAATAATTAGTGAAAGTAATGAAAAAGTTGCTAAAATTAGTTAACATAAAGAAAAGTTAGAA